TTGTTGTATTCTGTTACAGCGAATATCTTTACGACGCCTATGCTGACAGGGATAACATGCCCCTCGCAATGACTCAGTGAGTCCTCTTTTTGTATTTGATTGTTGTGCATGGCTCACGTTTTTAATAAATCACTTATTTATATTATTATTATTATTACTACTACTATTACTACTACTGTTACTTATTAATAATAATAACAAAACTATTTTAATATTATTTATTTATTTTGCTCGTAAAAAAAAAAAAAAACATTTTTTTTCTTCTTCGCACTTTTGTTTTCCGCTTTGTCGTTTGATTTTTCTTTATCACTTTAACAATTCTTTACTCATTTTGGAAATTTTTTTTATGAAATTAAATTGTCGAATTAATTTTAATACTTTTTCACATTTTTTTTTTTTTTTTTTGTTCAGTATTTTGTTTGTTTTCATTTAATTATTATATTTAAAAAATAAAATAAAAATAAAAAACCTTTTACCGGTTAATATGATGATGCAGCTTTTATTGATTGATTTTTTTTTTTTTTTTGGTTTAGTTTTGACTTTTTTTTTTATTTTTTTATTTTTTTGTTTTTTTTTATATATATAATAGAATTGATAAGAAAAAGAAAAAAAATCATCACAACAAGAATTATCAGGATAATTTTGAAAGCGGGAGTAATGCACCGTATTTGCAAGACTACAGCGCACATTTAGGTCGATCCGACAGGAGTTCATCGGCAAACAATGAGGCTAGATATAATGACATGGCTCCAAAGTAAGCAAAAAAAAAAATTTTAAACGTAAATTAATAATTTGAAAATGGTTGAAATGAGTGAGAACACAACAGCAATTGTTTAAAAAATAATAATAATAATAATAAAAGGAAAAGAATTAATTGAATTTTTTTTTTTTTTTTTTGCTTTTCTCAGACATTGGAACGACTATTCCAATTCACGTGGAGGTTCAAACGGTCCCCCAAGGTATCATCATCCATCATCAACAGAATATGAAAGACCACCGCCATATTATTATCCAGGACCGTAAGTGTTTTCATTTTTGCTTTTTTTTTAACTTTTTTTTTTTTTTTTTTTATCATCGCGTAACCGGTTTTTTATTTTCCTTTTTTTTGTATTACAGAGAAAGATCGTAAATATCGTTTTTTCTCTCTCTCTCACTCTCGTGGAAAATTTTTTTAAATAATATTTTAAAAAGAAAAGATCGTACGGGGGAAAATAAAATAAAACGTTTAACGATTTTAATAATTCACACGTGAATATATAAAAATAATAATAATTTTAATTGTTTTCAAAAAAAAAAAAAAGAAAATTTTTTTGTTTTTCTTTTACGTAAAATGTTTAAAAAGAAAAAAATTTTTAATAATAATAATAATAATTTTTTTTTTTTTTTGTAATGTGTTAAGCGTTAAATTTAGTTTAAGTTTTTTTTTTTTTTTTGTCGTTTTCAATTTTACAATTTTGTGTATGTATGTTAATTTTTTTTTCGTTTAAAACAATAAGTCTGAAATCGATTAGTTTTATTATTATTATTATTATTATTTGTTTCTATTTGTGTAATTTTCTTTTAAATGAATGACTGACGACAACGTGGATGGCATTGTCGTTTTTTTTTTTTTTTTTAAAAAAAAATTAAAAATAAAAATTAATTCCAAAAGTTTTTTTTTTTTTTTTTAATTAACTTTGACGACAGGAAAAACGAGAGTATTAAAAACTTTTTTTCTTTTTTTTTTTTTTTTCTTTAAACGAAAAAAAAGAAAGGAAGACGGGGGTGGGGGGGAGGGGGTTTGCTACGAAATTTTATTCGTACATTTTTTTTTTTATTCGTGGTTCGTATTAATTTTAATTTTAATTAATTAATTAAAAAAAAATTAGGAATTAGTTATTTTATCAAGTGGGCCTCTTTAAATCGAAAAAAAAAAAAAGTAAAGTGGCTTATTAACTATTAGAAAAAGATCTATTTTTAGAAGAAAGAAAAACATATTATTATTATTATTATTAACATTATTTTTCTAAAACTTTTTATTTACAAAAAATAATAATAAATAAATAAATAAAAAAGATATTTAAGTATTGTAAAAAAAAAATAAATAAATATAAAAATGTGTAAAATAAATTTTTAAAAAGCCATATTATTATTATTATTACTATTATTATTATTATTATTATTATTATTATTATTATTATTATTATTTGTTTAATTGGTAAATAATAAACGTTAAAAAAAAGAGAGGAGGAAGGAGGGAGGGAAAAAAAAATTTTTTTTATTTTTTTTTTTCGCGTTAAAATTTTTTAAATTTAATTTTTTATATTGCGTGCGAACAATTTATTATTATTATTATTATTATTATTATTATTATTATTATTATTAAAATAGAAAAAGAGGCAGCTCCTTTAATTAAATTTACTTATTATTTTAATTAATTAATTAATTAATTAAAGTCAACAAGTAATTAATTACTACGAAAGATAAAAAAAAAACTAAAAAGAAACCCGAATCGAATATATTTTTTTTTTGTTAATAATTTATGACGTCACGTTTATACGTAATATAAAATTAATAAAAAAAATAATAATAATAATTTTCCATCGACATTGTTCAATTTTAACTTAGGTCAATTGTTAGGAGAAAAAAAAAAAATTTTTTTGTGTGTTATTAATCGATAAATAAATAAATGTAAAATAAAAAATATTTTTCTGTCATTGTATTTTAATAAGAATTAATTAATTAATTAGTATATGTAATTATTGATTCGATTTTTTCCCCTTATTAAAAAAAAAAATTATTTTTACAAAGTTGAAAATATCTTTAACTCTTTTATTTTTATATTTAAAAAAAAAAAAAAAAAACTATTTTTATTCTTACGTATTTGGTAGATTAAAAATTTAAAAAATTAATAATTTTTATTTTTTATAAATAAAATTATTTAAATAGTAATTAATAGATACTTTTGATTAATAAAATTGATTTTTTTTTTATTTTGTGCCAAAAACAAACAAACAAACAAACAAACAATCATTTTAATTAATAATGTAAAAAAAAATATTTTTTATAAATTTTAATAATATTACGTAATAATAAATTGTTTTTAAATTTTTTTCGTGAGAGAATTATTATTATTATCTTGATAAATTTAAATTGTTCTTGTAAAATTAAATAAATAATCTTAAATTTAAATAAATAAATTTTCGATTCGAATTTTCCATATGAATTTTTTCTTTTATTAATTTTATTTTTCCTTTTTGAAGTTTAGTGCAATGTTTAGGAAAGTATTAATAGGAATAAGTAAAGAAAAATAATAATAATAATAATAATAATTTATGATGAAACGTTAAAAAATAAAATTTATATTTAAGTAACATTTTAGACTAACATAATAAGTTAATATTATTCGATGGGTTTTGGAATTTCTACGTCAATTTTTAAATTTGATTTTATTGTCGGTATTTCTAATAATGAAATTTCGGTTGGAATCCCTTCTTTTTCTTTTTGATTTAACTTTCCTTTATTTAATTCTTTCCAAGGAGTTAAATCGATAAATGGAATTTCACGAGATCTACATGAAATTTTTGGATTTCTAAAACAAAAAGGAACGATGCATAAATATTTTTTTTTTAATTTTATGTAATTTTATGAAAGTTCCTTCGTCTTACCTAAGGTTATCTTCGGTTAGAAATACAAAAGGTTGAATTTCTTCAGATAAATCGAGATTGTCGCAAAGAATTCTTGCCAATGTTACTCTTCTTATAGCTTTCAATTGAGCAACTGTGAAAGAACTTTCGAAACCTCCATTTTCGTACCAAAATCTGTCACCTTTTCTTAAATTTCTAAAATGTTGACCTATTATGCAAGCAAATGTTGAGCCGACTAGTCCACCTCTTACGGAAAATTCTGCCAAACCTCCAGTGTACAAATCAACGTCATTAACATCTCTAAAAATAAAATTGAATTTGACATTTTCAACACAGAAATTATTTTACATAATAAAACCTCCTGTTGAAAAAATGATTTCGTACCTGTAAATTCTTCTGAGTGCATCTCTGGACTCCTGGGACATTACATTCAATAAATCATTCCAGTTTTTCATTTTTCTTAATCCGCAAGGATTTCTCCATGAATTATAACTCGGCAAACCATGATCTCTTCCTCTTTGTATGTTTATTGCGGCTAAATCCAGGCCGGCTGGAAAATTTGGAGTTTGAAATAAATGATTTGTCAATTCCACCGTAAAGTGTTCGTCTCTTTTTTGCGCTCCTTGTCTACACATTCCTAACATTAAGTTATCTACTGCTCCAAAACGATGAAGGCTTCCGGTATCGAGTAATTCATCGTGTAAAGACACATCTGAGTTTTTTTTACAAACAAATTTTTAATGAATATTAATCGAATAACATTAGAAAAAAATTCCATTACATTTACTTACTAATTATTTCTTCTTTTCTAATATCATCCCATTTTAGAAATTTTCCTTGAACCATACTGTGGCCAAATCTAAATGCTGCCGTGGCAAAAGAATTTGCTGCGGTGCTGCTTACAGATTCACTGTAGTTTTGATAATATCCAGTTTTTAACAAATCTATACCAAAAATGGACATGACGTCTTGACCTGTAATTTAATATAGTTTTTCACAGTCTTATAATAAGAAATTATTTACAAAGTATTTTTTATCACTTCCCCTCCCCCAAATTTCTAAAAGTTTTACCTAAAACGATCGGTAAAAATTCTCTGTAGGTAATGTGTTGTATAATAGCACCAACAATTTTCCTCGTTTCTTGAAATAATCGTTCGTCATTCCATTCTGGATTTAAGTGTGCAAGATTTCTTGTCAAACGATTATGAAGTCTCAGAAAAACTATGTGAATTGCCAAAAGCCCTAAAATTATATTTAAAATCTTTTAATTTGAAATTTTACGTGTTATTATGAATTAGTGTTGATAATAAAAAAAAAAAAAGTTGCTTGATTAAATTTATGATGTCGTAAAATTAATTGGACGTAATTTTTAATCACCTGGTTGCTCATTCATTCTTGAATCTCCAGAATGTAAGCAAAAAAAATCAGGTGAAGATTTTCTACAAAATTCTCCTTTGTCTCGGTCTATTGGTAATAAAGGAAGTCTTTGCGGCATGCGGGTATACTTCAGCATACCTGAAAATTTCAAGGTAAAGTATTATCAAAAAAATTTTCTTAATTGTTGTTGTATAAATTCTTTTACTAATCAAATACCGTTGCGAAAAAGTCTCAGCTTTGAAGACTCTCTCTCGGAATTTCCATAAATCATTGAACCATCTATGTAAGAAGTCACTTGGTTAATTTGTTCTCTTGGACCTAAGGCACAACCCACTCTAGAAGACGGAGCACTTCTTAAAAATTCAAGGCATCGAATGCCGAATCTAGAAAAAAACCTGTCGTCCGGTAGAACTTCAATAGGTAAACAATCCGGATGCTGAATAATAAATACGTTTTATTAGTTATTAAATATTTACAGTTACTTCTTACAGTTAATAAATTTATTAAAAATAAAATACCTGCAAATCAGGAGGAGCATCGCAACATCTCGGAACCGATCCACCAAATCCTCTTGATTGGGACGAAGCTAAAAAAAAAAAAACAAATAAGGTAAAAATAAGGTATAAAAAATGATTATTTGAATAGTGGATGGAATAGGATGTAATTTACATGTCATGTCGTGATCTAAAAATTGTCCCCATTGCATTAACAAATGAGTAACAGATTTAGATTCAACGTTTTTATCCCAATGAACTTCCGTACTAACTAATCTTGCACTGGGTAATGGACCACCTTTAATTGATCGCCTTATAGCTTCTAATCCTAATGAACAAAAAAAAAAAAAAAAAGATATTCAATTTTATTTTCCATTAAATTGAAAGTTTTCATTAATTTTTTTTTATTTTACCGTCTTCGTAGTGAGGAGCCAAAAAACGTTTAAGAGGTTGAAATCTGGAACCCCACCATGGATGTTTCAAATTATTACACGTTCCATCCATTGTTCTATATAAATGATTCCATACAGGACAAATTGGAGTGTCTTTTAACGGGCAAACTTCGTGGAGCGACGTATCCAGAAGAGATATTTCAGGGAAATCTTTGGTACTGTCTTCTGATACGTTAAACATTTCTTGTCGAAACTTAGAATGAGCCAGTCTGTAAGTAAAAACATCAAATTTTACTGTGGCATTTTTTTTTTTTTTCTTTTAGTTACTATTTTACTAATTTAAAAAATTACTCACTCAGTGACCAATTGTGCGGTTGCTCTCAGGGACGCATAGCCAAATCTTGCAAATTTTTTTACTTCTGGAGATTGATGGTTGAAAGCTGCTAAATAACTACCAGGACTCGATTTTGGTAAAAATATACCTTGAGTAAACAAGTGAGTTATTAGATAATAAAAAAAAAAAGTAAAAGTAAAATACCATTAAGAATTATGCCAAGTTTTTACCTTTTTCAAAAATTTTTTTCTCCTTTATTTCAAATAATTCAAACATCTCCTGAAGTCCAAAATCTGTTACTTGCATTAATATGTCTCTCTGTTGTTTAGCCAGGGTTTCAGTTGATTTCGGCAATGAATCCTCATCGTTATTCTTTTCAATTGATTTTTGCTTTTTTTTTCTATCGTAGAATCTAATGCTATTATAATTATAACTACCATTTGAAATGAAAGACAAGTGGTCATAGTCATTCAACCTATTAACTTTTTTTTCAGGAACGTTAAACTGACCTAAAATCAAATTTAATAAAATTATTGGATGGTAATGATATTTTTGTTTGTTTTTTGAATTCACAAAATACCTACTGGAATTTTTTGATAAAGTTTTACTGTTGTCTTTGGCGTTAAAATCACTAGAAATTAAACTATTATCGGTGGTCAAAGTATTATCATCTTTTTGTTCATTAAATTTTTGTGTATTCGAATTTATATTGAGATTAAAATTATTTATTGCCGCAAAAAAAGTTTTCTGTTGTATGTTAGAATTGTGGTCATTGTCACGTACATATAATTCTCTGTTGTTTAATGATATATAGCTTTTTTCCACTTCTTTCAATTTTTTTTTTGCAAAATTTGACGAATAAGTTTTTCCGTCCCCATTGAAATTTCCCAAAAGCAGTTTTTTGTCTGATATATATTTGGTTGGTGGTATTTGCACAATTGCTTGAAATCCTTGCACATTCAAATAAATGAGCATTATTATAATTATATTGAACTGTACCCTAAAATTTATAAATGAAAATAAAAAATCAATCATTAATAATATTGAAACATTGTGATCACTAGTCAATTACCCAATTTAAAATAAATAAGCATTTTTATAATGAAATTATTAAATAAATAACCAATAAGTTAAAAAATCACTTTTTTAAAATTAACGAAAATTTACTTTTTATTTATTCTTTGCTTCCCGGTAAATTTTTTTAGCAAAAACAAAAATTTTAGGTTGCCAGCCTTGCATTTACTCGGCGCCAAAAAAATGTATTCTAACCACAGAGTTACAGCTTCTTTTTCATTTTCTAGAAAATTCTTTTGGTGTAGTGCATTATTATCAAAAATAATTTTTTTGTGCTAAATATTAGTTTTTGTGAGTGAATAATGTTGATTTATAAGTGCATTTACAACAAATCTAAGCTTTTAAACATAATTTTTTACATTCAATTGGATTTATCTCGTCGAAAATTGGCATTAATTATTTAAATAATAATTTTTCTTTGGATGTATTTGTAAAACCATGTAATTTGAAGGAAACTCTTCTTACTCAAGGTAATTAATTGTTTTTTTATGCATGTTAAATTTATGTTTTCTAATCTATCTTAATTATTTAACCATTACTTAATTATAAAACTTTTTATAATATTCAAAGAAATGAAATTTACTTAATTACTTGTAAAAAGGAAAAAAAATTAAGTAAAACTACAAATATTTAATATTTGGCATTATGGTAATATTAAATTTTACAACTTTCTTAATTAATTAAAAAGATAAACAATTAATTGATGGCCAAAAATTAAGGAAAATAAATCATATTTAATAGCACACATTTTTACATATATTAAAACAAAATTCAGGCATGTTTATATTAGGAGAGAGTAATTATAAATATTGACTCAGCTTATGTTAACATTTATTTATGAATTTCAATTTTAATAATTAAGTATAGGCAAACTTTTTTTTTTTTATATAATAAAAACACTTAAATTAATTGATTACATTGTATGACACTTTTGGTTTATTTTTGGCACGTGCAAAAAAAAAGTAACTGTTCTAATTTTTTTAAGAAACAAAAATTAAAATCCTATTAGGGACTCAGTCACTAATAACTTAGTTAAAACACATTTGAATTTAACAAAACATTACCTAAAACATTATAATGATGATAAAAAAAAAAAAAAATGAATTAAACCGACGTTTTATATATATATATATAAATATAGAAATATAGTTACATATTATGTAAAAATAAATAAATAAATAAATATTAGTCTCCCATATTGGGTAACTTGTTTGTTTATACTTAAAACTATAATTATTTTTACATTATTGTCACTTACATGATTGTTTTTTTTTTTTTTTTTTTTTTATTAATTTTAACGTTTAAAGCCCGTTTGTGTTAAATATGTCTTGATCTTGTCTCATCAGTCAACAAGGTATACATTCTTAAAGTTACCGTTGAGAACTAAAATCAACTTTAATATGAAAGACCTTTTTGCAAAGACAAAAAAAAAAAAGAAGCCAAAGAATAATCAACTTACTTTTCAGGTTCTTTTAATAAATTTCTCTTGTAGCTAACAGCTTTCTTATTGATGTAGTGCTATAAATAATCAAAGTGGATTTCCCAAATAGTAGATATATATATTCAATCAGTTAGTATTACTAGAGCATCCTGGTCAAATTCCCCCCTTTTTTTTAATTAAAAATTTTTTTTTTTTTTAATGAATTCATCAATGAATTATTTTTTTGTTGGCATTCAACAAAACCAGATCAAATAATAATTTATATAAATTTAATACCTTAGGAAATATAATATCATTATTATTATTATAATTTTTTGCTATACATCTTGTGACAAATTTTTTTTACACTTGTTCTCATGGCAAAAAAAAAAAAAAAAAAATTAATAACAAATGTTAGATTCAACAACTGTACAAATTATTATTATTATTATTATTTGTGGTGAATGACCTACAACAATTTTCAAATTTATTTTACAAAACCCTCGAGGTTATTAAATAAACTGGAATTTTATTCGATTTAATTAAACAATCGATAAAAGTATTGATAAGAATTTATAATTTGATACTTTTACTAGTTTTTATTGATTGATTTCCTTTCTAAAGATTGATTGATGATAGAAAATCTTATAGAAAATTTAAATATTTTTAGAAAATTTTGTCTTATTCTCCTCCATGTTTTTGTTATATATAATCTTTTTAAACTTTTTAATGCGTAGATTTTATTTTTAATAAAAAAAAAAAAAGTTTTTATTTTAATCTTGTTTGTAGAATAATAAATTTTCTTTTTTTATAATTTTCAATCATAAATTCAAGTTTTATTTTAAATGAACAGAGAAAATGAATTTTAAAGATTTGAATAAATTTATTGCATAAATAAAAGCACTAGTAAACAATGCATAAATTTCATTTTAAAAAAAAAAAATATTGAGGTCAGTTTTTAAAATTTATGAAATACTTTGTATTAACTTTTTTTTTTTTTAGGCCAAACATGTCTGATTATTTTGAGTAACGCGGGTTAAATTATTATTATTATTATTATTATTATTATTATTTTCCTAATAATGTGTGGCACATAAAAAATAATCGTGTGTGAGTGCGTGGGTGGGTGGGTAATTTATTTATTTAATTTTTGTCATATTTACCTTAATAATAATAATAAGTTTTTTATTGTGGTTTCCTTTTTGCTGATTTTTCTTGATTTTTCATTGTGGTTATTGCGCTGACCGATCCAAAAAGTATTTTTGCCGTTACTTGAACTTTTCTTGGTGGCATTGGAGGAGTAGCACCCGTGTAACCACCCTTTCCCTGAGCTCCTTGACCTCTAAAGCAATTTGTGCTATTGTTGTTTGAATCAGGAAAACAACTTTTACATGTTTCAGACATTTTGCTACACTACATGGCACACCTTTTACCTGGAAATAATTTTTTTTAACTTTATTGTACCTTTTTATTTTTTGATTCGAAAAAAAAAAAACAATTCGTACAAAATTTTATAAAAATTTCCTATTAAAAAAAAAAAATACAATGGGATCAATAGATATTAAAAATTTTTTTTTTTTAAACGCAAAAAGCTTTTATGCAAAAATAAAATAAGCTGACTTGTTATTATCTTTATACTCAATTTCAATTACTTAATGAGCAATTAATTGAAATTTAAGAAACGTAAAAACTTACGATTTAGTAAATTAAATTTAAAAAAAAAAAGCATTGTCTTTAAAAACGTTTAACAAATGTTTTTTTTTTGTTGTAGTCAAATATAAAAAAAAAAAAAAAGTTTCTGTTGTTACGACGAATTAAATTGAATTTTATACCAAATTTGCTAAATTGCACTTTAAAGTCATAAGCTCCAATTACAATCGATTTCGTTTTAAATTAGATTTTAGATATAAAAAAAAAAAATAGCTAGGTTGACTGGAAAACAATTTAATACAAACAGCATCATCATCCTTTTTGTTTGTCACTACAATCAAATTAAAAAAAAGTTTAAATGCCGTTTAATTATTATATGCATTACAATTAAATTTTTTTTTTTTGACATGATTCAAATCATAATCGAATCTGATTTAAATTTTTTTTATTGAAAATTTAAAATATTCCCTGAAAAAGGAATCTGAAGGTTTTTTTGTAAACAAAAACAAATCTAGTGCATAGGGTTTAATAAAAATTTAAATTTTTTTTCTTTTGTTCTTTTTTATACAAATATAAAAAATGTCAGGTTAAGATTTTTTTTTTTTTGTATTCAGTTAAAAGTATATAAAATATTTGACAATTTATTATCAGCTGTTTTTTTTTTTTTTTTTTAAATAAAGATTATATACTTTGGCTAATATTTCTTATAAATTATGACATAAAAGGGATTTTACTTAGTCATTGTAATAAAAATTATTAAAAGTTATAACTTTTATATATGTATAAGTTATAAAAATTAAAAAGGTCTTTGTGGTGATTATTAATAAAAATGGTTAAAAATAAAATTCAAACGGGATGCACTAAAATAAATTTCTTTTTTTTTTTTAATTTAATATTCGTGCTAAAATATTTTTAGAAATCTCATTTTAAAAGTTTAAAAACTATAAATTATATTCGGTGAAAATTATATTTAAATTTTATTTTATCACACAATTTGAATTTTAAATTTAAAATTTTCGGGCCAATTTTTTTTTTTTTTTTTTTTCGTGATAAATGTCGTCGAATGTAAATTATAAAAAAAAATTTCAATTTAATATCGCGAAGAAATACTTTTAAAAAAAAATATTTAAATGGTTAGGTTTATTTAATCTAACAGGTTTAATCTGTTGTGTTGTGATGTGAAAACAAACGCGTAATTTATCCTTTTTTATACCTAATTTCGGTTTTCAGGTAGCCTTTCGTAATGGCATTTTTTTTTCTATCTCTTAACACAGGTAGTAGTATATACAATTTCAATTGGTTTTAAAGGCGTTTGTTAGTGAGTATCATTTGTTTTTTTTTTAGTAAAACGGTTTTAACGCCTACAAACGGGCTTTGTTTATTATTTGTCATAAATTTTTTTTCGTGTTGATTTTCTTGTCAGATTTGGAATTGAGATATTATTTACAAGTCATTTGAGATTGGTTTTGGTGTGCTCGTAAAACATTTAAAGAATATCCGGTTAAACGACTCGTCATGTGAACTTTTGTTTGATTTTAAAAATATGAGCTTCTTTAACTTTAACGATTTTTATTAGTTTGCGTTAATTTTTTTTGAGGTTTTCAATATCAAGAATCCGCTAACAATATCTTCATTACGGTTAATAATAATTTATAATTTTTTTTTTTTTTTAAATTCGATCTTTATCATCTATTGTTCGTGCACATTGTTACAGGTCGATATCGAATGGTACGCGATACCATTATTTAGTATTAATTTACAGGAAAAAAATGAGTATTTTGATCCTGGCTTGTATTTATCGAACAATTCAATGATATTAATATTATTATCT